ATTTTAAGTATATATCTTTCCCATTTGCAAGTGTGTCATTGTAGCTGATCCACAGACAAGTCCTCATTTAATCACAGAGAAGCTTTCAAGTTATCCTTTTAGCAAAAATTGTATGTAACAACAAAAACAAGGATGTGCTTCCTGCTAGTTTGGCTTGTCACACTACCTAAGCACTCACATGTTTGCTTCTCCCAACTTTTATCACTTGCTGAATTTGGAGGAAAGTGACTACATGCCGATGAATAACCAAGGATCAGCACTGTGGAGGTCACTATAAAACAGCTAAACATGAAGTCAGAAGGAAGTCTGAAAAACAATACAAAAATATGTTCACAGCTTGCAGAAAAAATCTTATTGTCTCAAACTCCATTCCACATGATCCCATAATATTGCTATTCCAGTTGCAGAGGATGCTTTCTTTGCCACGCGAATTACTTGTGGGGATGTAAGGCTCCCTGTGAGACTGCAGTCATGCCACAGGTTTCCAACCTGGAGAGACCTGGGAGCCCTTCCGAGCTTTCAAGTGTGACTGCATCTGGAGGATGCATACCAAAACCAAACTGAGGTCAGACCTCTTTCCTGATGCCCTAGTTTCCAGAGAAATGTAACCCAGGCACGGAAGCTAAGCCATGCTTAGCTCCAACTGGGTCCCCAGTCATTCAGGTGATGGGACAAAGACTGCAAGACTTAGCAGCTTAGCCTAACTGACCATTTAGACACAATTTGTGGCTCTCTTGAAAATGGCATGTTTCTGCCCTAAAGAACTCCAGATTTGGAGTCTGTTGCCATTTTCAACATTAATTTAGCGTCTTTCTTCAGTATTATTGATATATCTGTTTTGCTTCAGTTTCTTAGGGAAATGCAGCACCGCTTACTGGACCTATGTCAACTATGGTTTGTGAACATTCAAGCAAAGGATCTATTTTATTTGGGTAGCACAGTCATCTGTCAAACCTGCAAATTGAACTTTTTATCTCTAATAAGGCCTGCTGTCCTTTCAATCCCTGTTCACTAAATGTTTGAATGCTGTTTTATTTATCTTGGCATAATTTTCTTCAGACCTTGTATTTACTTTTCCTCTATTTTATATAACTATAAATTCATTCTGCAATATCTCTGGCCTCCCACTGGGATTGTATATCATATGTTTTATACCTTAAACATTTCAGTGTTTGTGCTATAGACTTGCATTATTTCAAACTGGTGATTTATTGCCTACTAGTACCATGCACTACACTTGCAAGAACTACATATCTTCTTGAGTATTCACAAGGTAGCATTAGTGCTTTACTTCACTAAACATGAGTAGCAATCCAATCAGATCTATCACTTCAAGAAAATGTACTTCATCTATTGAGGAAAAAAAAAAAGCAAAAAAACAACAAAAAAAACTTCAGAAAGATAAAGTGTTTTATTTTAAATCTTAAATAATATACTAATGCATATCTTCAGAATTACAATAACCCTTGTAATAAGGGATGTGTTTAGCCTTTAACAAAGAAATAAAGCAAAATAAGGATGAAGTTGGTAAGAGAAAATTGTTTGCCTCTATAGTGAAGAATTCCAGGGTGCTATTCACCTGATTAGCTGAGATTTATCAAGAAATGTTATGATTTAGTTGAAACTTTATTGAGTTATCCTGTGTAGGTAAAACAGAGCTACCATTTTGCGTTCACTGCTCTCAGATAGGCTAAAATATCTCAACAGAAATGTGCATATAATGTTTATAAAAAATAGATGTTTGTCAAAAGCTCTCAAATCTCACTTTCAAAAATTATTTTCACGCTCGTCAGCCTAAATGTCGGCAATGAGCTCCTAAGTCTCTTAGCCAAATTTAAAAAAAAAAAAAAAAAGGGGTGTCTAAATCAGGTTTACATTATAAAAATGTTTTGCCTCCTCTGCCTAGCTTTGCCCTGTTATTTAAGTATAAATGTCAAAGAACTTGTTCAGCTTTCCATCTAAATAAGAGAGCAGAATTTGGTAAAATGGATCACTAGTTTCCTGCAAATACATGGCCTATAGGAGTAATCAGTTTTCACAGTGATTCGTAACAGCAGGGCATACATATATTTGCTTTAATTATCATCTCTGGCACCTTGTCACTGTGAAAGACAGAAGTCCAATGTAGCTGGTAAGGGCTGTTTGCTAGCTGAAAGTCATAAGTAAGGCTTTTTCTGCACAGAATCCTCAACTGTTTATCAGATTCTGTCTTCAGTCCTCCTGTCTGAGAGCTCTTTCCACGTTTATCTGGTAGTGCCAAGGTATTTAAGAATTATACTTTATTGGATATATTATTTTTTCAGATGAATAAGATAAGGGTTTTGTTTGTTTATTTGTTTTCTGTTTATTTGGCAACTTTACAAATTATGCAAACAGACATGGTCCAGCTGTGACATACAGAATGGCACAAGGAAAGACAAGGATGCTAGAATGTAACCGGTCAGTTACTCTAAGGCACAGAGTTCTCCTTAGTCTTTAACGTAGGATGGTTTGGGCAGTAAATATCCCAGTTCAATAATGTTGTAACTCCCTAACTGTTGACCTGATAATCATATAATCATTCAAATTAACTAACTGCACATCCTAACCCATGAAATCTGATGAAGCAGAATGTCTTCATGCTCTATCAAACTAGAAAGCTACGGACAGGCCAGACCACGCTCTCTTGCACGGCAGTAGAAAATTTAAGGTGCCCTGGATTGAAGGAGATGTAACAAACACTTGCTAAACTGTGCAGACGTATCTCCTACACCTCAGTACTCCCTTATTCAGAATAGATGATATACAGTAGGTCACCAGGGGAAAATGAGAAGCAGGTTTGTGTTCATGTGCGCATGCAAGCACCTGGTCTCTCTTCCCTTCTGTGTTGTCAACACCCTTCCTGCACCTCTGACACCTCCTTCTGTACCTTCAGGTGCTGTTTCGCTTTTCTCCAAACAGCTCTCCAATGCATTATACTGTAGTTAAGGTCTTTCCTCTTCTTTTGGAACAGTCTCCTAATGCTTCCTAATAGGCACAACTTTGCTTGCTCCTGACTAGCATTAGGTATCTCGATATTTGAAAATGAGATAAATTGTAAACAAATTCCCAAATAAATTATCTTGTATTGGAAATGTGATTAGGACTGAACTATGACAATAGAATTTTTTACTACTTCTTTTGAGAGGTCTAATTCAGTCACTATGCACACTTTCCCTAAACTTCTAAAGATATTAATTTCCCTCTAACTTCTAAAGATATATAGAACTTTGCTCACTTTCTGTGGATGCACAAGGAACCAGGGAAGAAATCTCATGGAGCATGCCATGTGTTGCCTTTACACTATATTTAGTGTTGTGATGCAGCTATACAGCTCAGATGTCTTCAGAGATGGCTGTGTGACTTGGACGTCACTGCACGGTGTCACATTGCATTCTCTTATGTCTTGTCAATTAAAATGTATTCTCTTCCCTTTATTCTGCTAAGATAATAGAACCAGAAAAAATAATGTCAGACTTCTCGATTTTGGCACTGAACTGGTGATGCAGGAGCATCAGATATCTAAGAATCATTTCTTCTCTGATCATCAGTAGGATTTAATATTGTCTTTCATTTTTCAAAGGCCTGGTACATCTGTTCAAGTCAATAACATCACATCACTATCACTATCAAAGATCTATTCTCTGCCAGAGTTGAGTCTGAGAACGGCAAAAGACTGACAATGTTAACATTAGGAATACAAATTTGTATAAAATTAAATATATATAATATTGAACAAAAAGCATTAACACATTGCTACTATTCTTCACAGAGCATTCTCATATAATTGATTAATAAAAATGAAGAACAGTATACCTAGCTGTAGCACTTGTAATGCCTTCCACCCAAAATCTCAAAGCAAATGTCATAGTGAAGGACAAAACGTTATACTGTGCCAGTGAAACAGGTACTATTATCTCCATTGTACAGATGTTGTAATTGGAACTCAGGAAAAAAAGAAAGAAAATCTTGATTGTATTGTTTTGCAGTCCGTGTCAGGGAGTGTTTTGGCTCTACATCACGTAGGTGGGAGCTTCTGGAGGTAAGGATAAAGACATAACATTTTCAGGGACAATGAAGGAACACAGCTGCTATACCAGCATGATGGCTACAATGTGTGTTGATGCCAGAGCAGAAGGAAAAAGGCTATGGCCTTTTCTCTTTCTTCATGCAGTCTAATGGCAGTGTGGAGGCTGAATAGAAATTGTCTTTCTCTGCTGGTATAGAAGCTTCCCTTCACCTTTCCTTATGTTCTCCTGAAGGGGCCAAGATATGACAATCTGGTGCTGGATGGATTGCCAGAGGTTACCCTGGCCCTGAATGCCCTGTGCATGGAATAGATGACAGAGCTGTGGCCTTCACCACTTGTGGGTTCAAAAAAAAAAAAAAAGAAGAAAATTCACATTTTTTTTTGAGAAACTAACATGTCAGAATACTGCTGCCACTTGTGCTCTTCCTACTAGAGCAAGTTCTGCATCAGCATGTTAAATAGCCTCTTACTGAGACCTAAAAAAGAGAGATGTGCTGGCTACTGAGAGCTGCATGGAGTTTTAGAGCTTCAAGCTGAAGATTACGGATTTAGTGGATAACAAGAGAAGAGACTGGTTCAGTTGAAACATTTAGTTTTAAATAGGTATCTGATGTCTGCCGAAGGCAGAGGTCTAATTTAGACTCCCTTGATCACTGTGGCTGGCACACTCCCAGGTATTGCATTATATTAACAAGGTTCATAAACCGTCAGATATAACTCATCCACTTAACTCTCTGAAATGAGACACAGATTCTAAGGACATGGCCTTTCCGAGAATGTTCTCGCTTTATAATTTGTCATTCCCCCAAAATACTGAATGTGATATGATGTTACTGGAGTCTTCAGTTAAAGGGATCACATTTTTTGGTCACACGTTGCAGAATTTATTCATATGTCTTCTTCCACTCCAGGATACAACTGGGATCCTAATCATTAAACTATTTCCATTCAGGCTAACGACATCACTATTTGTCATGCTGAATAAATAAGGATGTGATCTCCTGCCCTCCACCAGAAGGAAAGTAAAGGGAAAGGTGCCTTCAGCCATGGAATTCAAATTGTCCTTTCCTTCAGAGACTCTAGAGGGTAATCTCTTTTCATACCAGTCTAGGCTGCATGGTGTGATATTCCTTTAAACTCTCCAGTGGTTCTCCTTTTGCAAGGAAGGTTTCATAAAGTGCTTTGGCATTTGCTTTTTGAAGCCTGCTTAGCTCATTTTGCTGAATAGAAAAGGTAGCACTGAAACATATCTTTTATTATAGATTACAAAGATGGAAAAAGCTTGCAGTAGGCTAACGCTGTGAGGAAAAATAGCATAGAAGCATGAGCTGAGTTCGGTTACTTTAAACATTAGATGCCACAGGAAGAGATTTTATTGACCTTGAACCCCCACCAACACTTAATGCTGTTATATTGTGCGTGTAGAGCAAAACGTTTATGCTAAGCAGTGCACTGGGTAGATGTATGAATCCTAGGGAGATGCCATGCTGTGGAGGCCTCCACCCCCCTGTAGACCAGTTTGGATTTTCAGTGAGGTACTTCCCATTCCTTTTTCGAGTGCATGAGGCTTCAAGGAACTATTTGGTTAAGATCAGTTCACTCTTCCCTAGTCTGCCTTATGTGCATTACCAGACAGAGAGGATATCCCGTGCAGTGTCCTGCAGCTATGGGGCTGAGAGGAAAAGCATCCTTTTGACTTAGCCACCCCCCTGGCAGCGCTGTTGGTGAAAGATTGGTCTATTCCTCTGTTGTTACTCTACAGTTCCCAACTGGCTCAAGATTATTCCTGTAGTTTAATAATCAGTTGACATTCAGCTTTTAGCAATTAAGTCCCTCTCCATCTAGATCACACCATCTACAGCTTTTCCTATGGAAGGCAATATATGCCTTATTTGGTTTTCCTCTTGTAAGTTAATGAACTAGACCGCTCTCGTTGCTGAAGAGCTGCTTTAGCTGAGCTGTGCACTTTGTATACAGTACCTCAATCTGCCTTTCAACACAGCTATCACCAACCCATCATAGAAAAACTTTGATCAGAGCAATATTAGCTATTATGCCATGACCACCACCATGAAGCCACTGTAGTGTTAAAGGCTGTCATGTACCCATGGAGTTTCCTGACCCTGTGACTGTTGTCAGAGTCTTCAGACAAACAACAACCCCTCATAGGAAAAGTTAATAGTATCATAGAGAAACAGTCAATCTTCACTGGAAAGTTTCTCTCACCTCTGATGAAATGTTCTGCTGTTTGCTATTTATGTGGCAGGATTACTTGAACTTAATCTAATGATGAAGAAGCGTGCATTACCCATGCTTCCTTACCAAACTTTTACTCCATGGTTTTCTTGGTGGGCCACAATTTTGAGAAAGTGACAGACCCAGCATAAAACTCCCTTTCTCATCCTCTACTCATTCTCCTCTGAATTCTTCGGTTTCCAGGATCTTAGGGCCATTATTCACAATCGCTTCATCAAGGTTCACTCACCATATGGGTGCCTCAACATGGAGAGCTTTTCACAGAACAGAAGCCCTTGTATGTGTTTGTTTATCAGGAATTCAGAGTTCTCTTGTACCATCAAAATATTTCCCTCTATGCAATCTGCAGAAACTTCAGATATGTGTGTTTTTTTTTTTTCTACTGCCCCTCAAAAGAGTGAGTAGCATTGATAATCAACTGTTTCATCTAAGGCAGTTCAATTTAAATGCTAGGCATTCATTTCGTGGGCTGTGAGTAGTCTGTGTGTTTGTTAGATCTGCAGCATAAAGAACCAATTTTTCTTATCCTAATCCTATGGCTGTCTGGAAAAGGTGACACACACTGAGACATAATGATAAGAAAAGCTACAGCTGCCAAAGGCAGTCAGATACCAAAGCCAGATGATTAAACCATCCCATAGCATTCCCAGAAGAGAAGAGGGAAAAAGGTCCAAACATTTTTTCCACGAAAGTTGCCTTGCTATAGAAGCTTCAGAGCAGAACCCACATACAGACACATATGGGATCTTCCTTTAATAACCCATTCCTATTAATAACAGGTTAGCCAGGGTGATACATATTTTAAAGCCTTTTATCTAAGGGTTTTTTTGCTTGAGCTTCACTCTTTGTTTTGTTGTTTTGCTGTTGCTGGGCGGATAGAGGCAGCTAACCTTGTTTTGGAAATAAATGGGATGATTTTTCCCAATCTACACAGCCCTAATGGCTAAATCCCTTTGATGCGAACAGCAGTCACTGCACACTGTTGACCCCTGTACAATCGCAGCTACGTTCTAACAGTGATAAGTTGGGTTTCAGAGCTGTACAGTAAGAGGAAATAGCAATAGGCTTTTCAATTTTCAGGGCTTTCATACCCTCACTTTGGATGGAATTAACAAAAATAGATAGTCAAACATATCCTTTAATCCTAATGAAATGAGAAAAGGTAAAGTGGAGATAGTTCCACAGAAACAGAAAAGAGAAAGTTAAAATCTTGTTTTGCATAAATTTTTTGCAACATTGATGCCTTCAGCTTGCACTGAGCAGTTTGTATTTGAGCTGTACCCAATACCTACTGAAAGCAGCTGGTGGGGGATTTGCTCTTGGCTTCCCAGCACTATCATTGCCCTAAACTGTCACCTGGGGATGAACACAGGTCAGCATGCTGTGCCTCCCCTCTGTGGCTGCAGACGTGCCTGCTTTAGCTTCCTGAGAGAATCCAGCAAAGTCCCAGGTGGGGCATTTCATCTATGAGAGCACCAATGTTGAGTTCAAGGCTGAGACTGAATCTGTAAGATGCTCTACATCTCAGTTAATATGAAGGTCAGAAATAAATGATCCCCACTTTCACTTCATACAAGCTGGTAACCCTTACATTTTGGGTTGTGGTTGACGTTTGAAACAGGATAAAGTACGTCCTTCTTTTTAGCTGTGAGATGAAATCATGGAAAAAAGCGTCAAATATCATGTGGTTATCAAAAGCATAAATCACACTGAAATACCTAGGAAGAGGGAAGATTTGTAGAAAGTTTTAGGTCAGATCCACAGAAAAGTCTTACTAAACTTTCAGGAAATTTGGGTCAAGCTGAGTGTCTGTAATACAGCTTCAAAACAGTTAAGTATCTCCTGCTTTCTGCTGTTAAAGGTTTGCACAGCTCTCATCTGACAAGCCATAGAGCTGTGATTTTCGGTGCCCCTGTGGTCTCTTCAATTCATCAGATGAAAAAGCTTGCTGGGGAAGACGCTAAGGGAACGGTTGCCCTGAACAAGCAGAATCATTTTCAAGCTCCCAGCAGCATTTCAAACAAAAATATTCTAGCAGGTCTTCATGATGATCTTCACATGCTTATACAAAAATGAAATCTCAAGAAAATTGAATGATCCACTGAGAAATAAAGACTTTATGCTAAGCACCTCTAGACAGCTGATATAAAAAAGATCGCAATGCACGAGTTAAAATAATGCAATTTTTATCACAATTCTGTTTTTCAATGTGTCCAGATCTATCTGTATTTGATTCATATTTTATTGTACCCCCTCGAAAAAATAGCAAATCAAAAACCTCTGGGGCAGCTTGCAGCTTAAAGAAGGAGAGAAGAATAATTTGACAATTATACGGGTTAAGAAATCAGATTCTGTCATTTTTTTTTAATTCTATGTTTTTCTACTAGATATTATTGTGGTCCTGGTAATTTAACACAGTGGTTTTTTAATAATTATTTTATGGCACAGAAGAAAGCTACTTGGCCATACCTGTGAATAATTATTTTCAAATAGGACAGAGATAGTTAATCCTATAGAAAGCTGACACTAAAGCCACACAGTCTGCATTGCCCATTAGGATGCTGATCTGGTAGCTATAGTTTTTGAATGTTCCTGTTATGATGAAAGGTAGTGAAACCTGGAGGAATGACAGAGTTCTCACAATGGTAAATGTAAGCGTATATAAAAATGTACCTCAATGGAGCAGTTTCCATGGCACATAGCGTGACTTTTATATGAAACTCTAGCAACTCTCACTGATGTTGTACTGCTGCAGGCAGTGAAATTATGCCTGAAAGGGTTTTTGCAGGGGGCAGCTTTAGAACCCCCATGACACCAATTTAATTCTGCAGATATTGATAGAAAGGTCTCTGTCTCACCTATTCTGCTAAATAATGAGTATCGTTTTTCTGAGAATCAATTTACTGGAAGTTTTCCAGATAACAGTCCTCCATTTCTTCAGTTGCTCCATATTATATGTGTGTGTGTGTGTATGTATTTATGCATATCTCCAGTTTCCAAAACTCCATTTAAAAGATATAGCATTCCTTAAATGCAAAATATTACAAGAGCTCTAGGTCTGCAGCATCTTATAAGCTTAAGAAATAAAGTTAAATTGGATGTGGGTAGAAACGTAGCGTCATAGCCAGGCAATATAAAGTTCCCATAGCCAAAATTAACCTGACCTCCTACACGTAATTCTACGTTATTACCTGAACTGTCCCACTTGGTTGTCAAGATCTTCAGACACAGTGTTTATGGGAACCTGCAAAAACTTTGGGATCTGGAAAATTTAGTCATGAAAAATAAATTAATGGGCCTCAGCATTAGCTGTTTCAGTGGAAGCTGTAATATCTTTCCATAGAAAAATGCTGTGGATTTGTGTTTTTTAAGTTTGTTGTCCCTTTCTCCTTCCAACGATCAGTTATAGAATAAAATAATTATGTTCAATGAAGCCAAGATCCTGTGCTATTTCCGTAACCCTTAAATCATTCACCTTCATCTTTAGAGTCTTCTCATCACCTTCCCCACTCAAGTCTTACCCACTACTAATTTTTGTTTCTTCCTTGTTGCCATGCTTCTGTTTCAGTTGTTCAGCTTAACAAAGATAATTCCTTATAGGTATCTATCTAGATGTTGCTTTAAAAGTGGAAAAGATGGGAGGACTTTGACCAGGAATTATATTTTTTCGTATGATAGCCTTTTCCCAAGTCTGATGCCATTTGCAGTGTATGAAAACATTCATCTTTATAAAAGGAGTGAGAAAAAACAGCAAGACT